CCTGCAAAAACCATAGCAGCAATCACTGTAATCGCAGTGCTGGGGTATTGCAGTCAGGCTGTTCCCTGGGACTTGTGGCTAACCAGCCTAGCTGAATAGGTGAGTCCCAGTTGTCAGTGAGAGAACCTGTCACAAAACCCAAAGATGCACAGTGCCTGAGGAATGACACCTAAGGTTCACCTCTGGCCTCCACATACATGTGAGCACACACCAAACACAAAATTACAAACTCTGAAGAATTCTGTGCCAAGTCAATACTTATCTTTATTGAAGGTAAAAGTTCTATTTTAAGTCAATGAGAACTTCTCCAGACTTATCTAGTTCTGAAAGGACCCAGTCTTGACAAAAGCCTTTGATAGCTGTTTTGATGTCTGAATGACAAGGTGCTCCAGGCTCATTCTGCATATTTCCGGCTCACAACCTTGGAGTTGTCCAAAATTACCTTTGGTAAGAAAATTTCAAAGATTAGAGAAAACCCCGTTTTGTGGTTTTTCTTCATTGCCCTCAAAAGATTGTTTTATTTATTTAGTCTTACCAGTGGTTTTATATAGGAAGATTTATTTTTATTTTTTTTAGACATTTGTCCTCCCTCCAATGTCCTTAAATTCTGTTGTCTTATTCTTTAATTTTTATCATTACATATATGCGAATAAATATACAAGTACCACCTGCTTAGTTTATTTGATGTTGCTTGTACATGTTGTACATTTTTGGACTGATTATTCAGTATTGGGTAATCAAATAGGGAGCTTATCCCTGGGGAAGACTAATTCTTCCTCTCTCGGTAGTCATTAACTTGCTGTTGTTCTTTATCTAGGGATGGAGCTCCAGGAGATCTCTCTTATCCATGTTGACATGTCAGCTGGTGTAGTCATGCTTGGTTCGAAAAACCCAGCCAGCTCATCTTAGCTACTGAGCTCACTGATCTTAGAGGAGAACCCACTAGTGCTACTTTTTTTTATGCTAGTGTAATTCCTAACTGTATTGATAATACTGAGATAATTGTAGCTCTCCCCTCAAACAAGAGAACGACTTATCATAGGGTGGGCAATTGTGACCTCCAACTGATAGACCTGCAACACAATCCCTATGACCTAAGGCTCAAGGGACATTATAGAACACAGGGTGGAAAGATTGTGAATGACAGAGGACCAGAAAGTCTGCTGTGAGGTCTATATAGGAAGATTTAAAACTTGGTCTGTACATGCTGGGTTATGGCCAGAAGGAAAGACTGTAAGATTAGTAAAATGCCAGTCTCTACACTGATTGTGAGCATTGTTGACTAGTTACTGCAGGCAACTGGTTAGAAAACACCTCACACAACACCCGCACTTGAGTTAGACATTGTGTTGTGACCTTCTCAGATAAGGTCAGAGATCACAATTACGCTAGATGGCGAATACCACCCCGCAGTACACCACCTTACAATTGTGTAAGATCCTACCTGCAGCTTTAGAAAAAGTTGGCGTGGTCATTGGCTACTCAGAATTTAGACTTACTTTCTTTATTCCTTTACTTTGCTGTAGATTGATTCTTAACTCTTCATGTGTTGCACTGACTGGCATTTGGGGCAGAATTTGACTTTGTTACGGTCTTGGAAGCTAGAAGTCTCAAAATAGGATTGCCAGTCTGTTAGCTCTCATGAGGTCTTTCCTCTGGGGTCACAGACAGCTGTTGTCTTTCCCTAGTCATGGTAGAGTGAAGAAAACTTAAGCTGTCTGGTTCCACTGCCACTGAGGGTGCTAAACCGTAATTGGTATTCACTCTGTGGCCTGCTGTATCTAATTACCTCCAGAAGGCCCTGCCTGCCGCTCCTATCACAGTGACTGACTGGAGTCAATGTAGGAATGTGGGAGCAGACAAACAATTACTCTAGATTCCTGTTTCTTTTAATGAAGGGTTTTTTTTTTGTTTTTGGTTTGGTTTGGTTTGGTTTTTGAGACAGGTTTCTCGGAGTAGTGTTGGCTGTCCTGGACTCACTTTGTAGACCCACCTGTCTCTGCCTCCCTGAGTGCTGGGATTAAAGGTGTGCACTACCACCCTGCCTTTTTTTTTTTTTTAAGTAGCTCTTTGAGTATCTCTGGGTGGCAAACTTTTTGTATGTCTAAAAGTAACTTAATTTAGTTCTTACTCAGAACTATTTTAACTGATTGATTCTAGTTTCAGATTTTTTTTATAGCCCTTCAAAATTAGTTTTCCATTATCAGAAAAAAGTATTCCCTATAAAGAGCTCCTGTTTTATCTCTGCAGTTTTTATTGTTTTGAGGGAGAGTGGATGGGGGGGTTGAGACAGGGTTTCTCTGTAGCTTTGGCTGGCCACTTGAACTCAGGTAGGGAGGGTCTGGCCATGCTATGCCTGGCTCGCCGTAACTCACAGAGATCTGCCTGCCTCTGCCTCCTGAGTGCTGGCATGAAAGGTGAGCGCCACCACCCTGCAGTTTTTATGGTTTTAATCTGTGACATTATGACACATTTAGGCATTTTTAAATGTTTACTCATGCTAAATAATTGTACTTTCAGTCCGTCAAGAAATAAATAGTAAAATGATCCTAGCCAGTTATGGTGGCACATGACTTTAGTCCCAGCACTCAGGAGGCAGAGACAGTCAGATCTCTGTGAGTTTGAGGCCAGCCTGGGCTACAGAGTGAAATTCAAACCTTTACCCAGGGGTCCACAGTGAGACCCTGTTCAAAATAACATAAACTGGAATCTAGGTTTGGCATCCTAACCAGAGATGGGACTGGGAATTGTGAATGGCCCTGCTAACAGGTAGCATTGGTCCAGAGACACTGCAGCTCTCCTGATACTACTGTGTTGTTGCTGTCAGCTCCTAGTGAAGGGCATCCAGAGGCACTACAAGCACTGTCAGCGTCCAGGTTCACTTGGATAAAGAAAAGCCTGAGAGAATTCAGAAAATTATTAAAAGAGCCATTGAAGGTGCCTACTGAATCATGAACACATTAAAACAAAACAAAACCTGAGAATTCAGAGCCCACAGCCAGAGAGTGCAGACATTTAAAGTTCAGAAGACTGTCTTCTGAAACTGTCCTTTGGCCTCGTTGGCTACGAGCAAGATAAATATGTGAGAAGCTGGAATTAATTAACTCAGGTGGCTCTTGGTGATACAGGCATGTTATCAGCATCTTTTATATTGGTGCTTCCTTCCATCCAGGAATGATGGGAAATTTGAGGAGAATATAGTATTTTGTCTGTCTCTCCTTCCTTCCCTCCCACTCACTCTCGCTATTCTTTTACTTTACTGTGAAGGCAGGTCGTTTATTCTGGACATCCTTATACCATTTCTCTGAGCCATGGAGCAGATGTTGGCCCAAGTGATTTTCTGTTACAGAGGAAAGTGTGCTTCAGAATCGGCCAGCTAATGGAGCTGAGGCTCAGAGCATACACTGCTTCTCCAGGTCTGCTTGCAGCTGTTTCCTCCTCAGTGAGGACTGAGCAAAGCATTGCACGTAGGAATCTTGGAAGGAAACCACTGTGTGCCCCCATCCCAGCTCTGGCTTTGCCTTCCACACTCATCTGTGAGCTTGCCCTGTCCCAGCTCAGAGCTCCACCAGCCTTCGCTGTGTCACGCCCTGCAGTCTGACAGATTTCTGCACCTCCTGACCTGCTCACGCCATGCCACAGGAAGAAGTCCTAGTCTCTAAGGTTGTAAAATGCACACAGTGCCTGACAGGGAATATTCCCTGGGTATACTCAGCCAGCAGGATGAGCTTCTGCCTGTGCGCGTCCTTGCAGTTACGTTAGTTAAAGTGACATCTGTCTCGGCAGAATTGATCAACAAATAACAAAGTAAATTTATCAGTTTGTGACAACTCAGGGAAAAAAATCCTATTATCTTTTAAAATAATTTTTACATGCAGTTCTCATGCTGAGGTGACACCAAACTCTTTCTGTTGCTCCTTCCTAAGTGTAATTTTGCTACTGTTACGAATCATAATGCAAATAACTGTTTTCCAGTAGTTCTAGGCAATCCCTGTCAAAGGGTAGTTTGACCCCTACTCCCACCCCCGAAGGAGGTTGAGAACCACTGCTTTCCATCATTCTGTTCTCCTTCTGAATTCTCTGGCACTTCAGTGGTAGAATGTTTGTCTTTATGACTAACCTCTCCTTAACATTTTTTAATGAAAAATTCCATTTATACTTTCAGAAAATAAAAGAAGAATAAAATTTAAAAAGCAGTGTAAGATAATAGAGCAAAATCTTTCTTGTTTTTTTGTTTTTATTTTTTTAATTTTTTTCATGTGAATATAATCTATGTACAATGACACGAGCAGGCATTCGATCCATCTCAACAGATGCATGTAATAGACTACCTCTTCAAGCTCTGTTGCACACCCCCCCCCAAAAAAAAAGTTGCTTCATGCTCTTTGTCCTTTCACAGAGCAGCTTTTAATTTTCTATCACTGTAAACTAGTTCCTCTAGCTAGTCAGACCTGTAATTCCAGTGTTTTGGGAATGAGGTTTAAGGATTATTATGAGTTCAACGTCTACCTGGGCTACCAAGAGAGGCCTTATCTCAAAAAGAAAAAACAAGAACCTATGAGTTCAAGACCAGCCAGGACTACATGTGAGACCTTGACTCAAAAAAAAAAAAAAAGGTTTTAAAGCCAAAAAAGATATACATATGTGTGTGTGTGTGTGTGTGTGTGTGTGTGTATGTGTGTATGTCATTTATGAGTTTTCACACTTGTAAATCTTTATTCCGATGAAATGTTAGGCTTGTGAGGGTATAATTCATAAGTAAAGCAATTGCTTGCCTAGCATATGCTTCAGTTCATCAACCAGTTTTATTTTGGTTTTTTGAGACAGGGTTTCTCTCTGTATAACTTTAGGTGTTCTGGAACTCACTCTGTAGACCAGGTTGGCCTCAAATTCACAGAGATCAGCCTACCTCTGCCTCCTGAGTGCTGGGATTAAAGGTGTGCACTAACAGCACCTGGCTTCTACTGCTGATGTTAACGCTGTCTTCTTTTCTTTTTCAGACCCTGTAGAACAGATAAGCACCATGTTTGGGTACTAACAATCACATATGTGTATGTCTGAAATTGAAAATGGCAGAGGGAAACAACAAAGAGGAGGTGATTCACTTGAACAGCTTTCATTGCCACCGGGGACAGGGTAAGTTCAGTTGCTTGTCCTTCATTGTGATGGCAGTATCTTCTCCAAAATGAACCTATTTTGTACCATTGATGAGCCAGAGGGAATCCACTGTTAGACCTAAGAACATTAGGCATAAAATGTCAAACTAGAATTATGTCAACTAATGACACTAGTGGCATAACTGAAATTTAAGGACTCAGCCATCACAAGGAGGTTTATACTGTAGTGGTTTGCCTCTAAAGGTTTTTGAGGGAATGGAGATCATACGGGACTTGGGCCAGTAAAATCCAAAATACAGGCAGTGTAAAATTTTGACAAATTCATTGATTCAGAAAGAGCAGAACTGTGCTTGCATTTCCTTAACATTTCCTAAATGCATGTGGAGTTTTCTGTCAATATGAATGTACATTTATTAATATTTGGTCTAAAAAATTCATATTGATAAATAGAGAATCCTTAATATATTCTGTTGTAGAAAATGTTATTAATACTTACTATTAGTGCATATAATTATTACCACAGTTATTTTTCAGCCCACTGTTATAGAAGTAAAAGACTAGACATCTGTTAGATTTTTGTTTGTTTGTTTTTCGAGACAGGGTTTCTCTGTGTAGCCTTGGCTGTCCTAAAATCTGTAGACCAGGCTGGCCCTGAACTCACATCAGTCCTTGTGCCTCTGCCTCCCTGAGTGCTGAGATTAAATGCATGTGCCACCACTGGGGCTGTGCAGATCTTAACCCCCAAAGCTACCTTGTTATTTCCCCGCCACAGATCCCATCCGGAATTTCCATAAATATTTACACGCTTCATTTTGGCTGCTGCTCTCCATCATGCCCATCCTCAGAGCAAGCGCCACTTACCCGTACGCTTCTTTTTCACAGGGACCAATGGCAACCTGCTCCTGTCTTCTCCTCCCTCTCTACACCTCTCCTGAGATCCTTCTGCCCTCCTTAGCCCTCGAACCTTAGCTTCACCTATGTCCCTTGCCCTGTCCAGGTGGTCAGTCAGAGATAATTTGGAGGCAAAGTTATGTAGCATCACGCGGTATACGTTAGGGTTTGCTGGTAGAACAGCAAACATGATATTAGGGGGGTGTCCCAGTTAACAATTATGTACAAAGCACCAGACCAGGCTGTAACAATATTCACTTCTTGAGTACAAATCTCATGAAGAGACTAAGCAAGTTTTTTCTCTCGATAGTTTATGGTTGTGAAGATGATTTTTTTTCCTAGTATGAAATAAGTCATATATTTGCCTTTAGCACATTTAAAGTTTAAAAAAATTTTATTAACGGAGTAAATTTAGGGGAAACAGAATCCTTCAAACTGCATATACACTGCATATAGGTACAAAAGAAATACTGAGTTTAAGATTTTGTTAATACTGTACTACGATTGTAGTTGTCACTTGTTGTGATTCAGAAAGTTTGAAATCTTAGCTGAAATTTGTACACATGCGTATTTCTGACTTTTGTACGTGCATATTTAATTAATATTGGAATTTTAAAATTGGACCTTAAATATAGTTAAACCTTAAATATAGTTGGTGTCCTTCAAAAACAACTGCTAGGCTGGGTGTGGTGGCACATGCTTTTAATCCCAGCATTCAGGAGGCAGATGCAGGTGAATGTCTGTCAGTTTGAGGCCAGCCTGGTCTACGTAGCCTTGGCTGTCCTGGACTTCCTTTGTAGACCAGGCTGGCCTTGAATTTAAGCAATCCGCCTACCTCTGCCTCCCTAAGTGCTGGGATTACAAGTGTGTGCCATTAGGCCTGGCTACCTGTTATAATTTTAATATGCCTTACATACTGGAACTGGGCAGATGGAGCTAAACCCTTTATTTTTTTTTTTTTTTTTTTTTTTTTTTTTTAGTGTTTGCTTGCTTAGACTGTACAGTAAGTTCCTGAGCTACAGTGTAGAACCCTGTCTAAAAGGAAAAACAAAGTTAGGGCTAGGGATATAGCTCCTTCCTTCCTTCCTTCCTTCCTTCCTTCCTTCCTTCCTTCCTTCC